TGACACCTGTAAGGCGCTGTCACAGACCCTCGCACATGGTGAGGGCTCAGCTAATGTGAGTTGTGGTTATTACTAAAAGTTGGTTACGGGTAAAGACTGTGTGCTTTGGCATTATGAAGACCTGGGGCCCACTTGTAATTGGCCAGGGTGTGTGGCTATTGAAGAGAAAATGCAGGAAGTCTCTAACATAAGGCACATGAATGGGTTTATTCAAGAATGTTCGCTGGCAGCACCAATCAGCTCCTGGCTTGGGGAGACAGCACTGCTGCTGGGAACAGCCCAGCCCAGCCTGTTCACCAGATCACCCCGTAATGTATGCAGAGACCACATGCTAGGCTGAGCCCCTTTAATGCACTGCCTGAACAACTCATTCCTTGTCTCTCAGGCATCACAGATGCCAGAGTGGTTCTTACACACACACACCCTTCCCGCAACTTCCCTCGTAAGTACAATTTGTCTGCCTTCTTTTCTAAAATCGACTCACTGGGTTGTGTGTCCTCTGTTTCCTTTATGCTTGTTGTTCTCAAAAAGCAGGTTTTTTACCATCTGCATCAGAACCGCACGGAGGGATGGTTAATGCTGATTCCTTTGGCCTCACTCCAGACCCAGGGAATCAGGATGGGAACCTTGGTGGTGGGGCCTGCAAATCCTCCTGATTATGAAGGTCCCCAGGGCATTCCACTGTACGCTAAAGTCTGAGAATGCTACGCTTTGCCTGCTCCTCTGTTTTGCTGAAGCAGAGAGGAAGTTCCCCAGCCGGCGACACCTTTGTCTCCAATCATAAAAGGTTTCTTTCCCCTGAGTAGAGCTGTGACATGGCTGCCTTCTTGGGCTGGGCTTCCTAGAACATGAGAGGGTCCCCTGGGGCTTTTAATCTGTCCTCCTTGGCGTCCCCTTGGGGATTCAGAAGAGCTGTCCCATGGACTGCTGGGGGAAGCAGGTTCGAGGCCGGGAGCTTCAACCTGAGGTGTCTGCTTTTATCCTTTGTCATATGGGTGTGCTGAAGCAGAACTTGCTCGAAAACAGGGTTCTGTTGCTTAAAAAGTTTAAAATCTACTGATGTTGTCCAACCCCTTATTTTACAAATCAAACACACAAAAAACAAAAACCAGAGGTCCAAGTGATAGAGGAACTTCTCCAAGGCCACACAGTTTAGTGGCAAAGCTGGGGTCCAAAGTCAGGTCTCCTGGTGTCTACTGGCAGGACTTTACTTGATTAAACTAATTCAGGATGAACAGAACTATACCTGGTGGTGTCCCAGCACATAGAAAACCCTCAGTAAATATTATTATTATTGTTGGGGTCATTATTAATTTGTATTTGTATTCATTTTTAATTGTTAATTTGAATTTGAGACTGAAGGCACTCAAAGAGAGCCCAAAGGGAACAGACAGAAGTAGCTTGAGGAGAGCCACTGGCCGCCCAGACAGGTCTGCACATGAGACTATTTCTCTTAGCGAAGTCAGCTGAGTTCAGGCTCCAGCTCTTCACAGTCCAGGCTCAAAATTCCAGCTCGTCAGTGTCCCAGAGTGGACCAGAATGTGGGATGCTGCCTCATTTTATCAACTGACATATAAAATTAGCCATTCATCCTACAAATATTTATGAAGCCCCAACTAAGTGCCAGGCACTGTTGTAGATGTGAGCTGCAGCATAGAGCAGGAAAACACGGAGCTTACATTATAATTAGGGTGGGGGTGGGGGAGATAAGCAATACACATCAAACAAACAAATAGACAACATGAAGTAATAAAGCACTGTGAGGGAAAACAAAGCAGGGTGAGGGAATAAGGAGGGACAGGGGCAAGAAGTCTCCTTTGCTGAAGGCCTTCAGCTCAGATACACCAGTTGCAGTTACATTGCCCTGGCATGTCCCTGCACACAGTCAGTACGCGGAGTTATCAACATGCTGCCCCGGGGAGCACGGTGTTAGAGGAAAGGAGATGATCTATAATTCAACAATTTGGTGACAACCTACTGTGTCCATCTCTGCAGTGTGCTCCTTCTGCCCAGCTGCCGGGCTGACAGAGTCCCCAGAGGGAACTCGGACGGCATTGCCAGGGTTCACTTCCGTGACTCTGCTTGTAATAAGGCCACACCACTTCATCTCGTTTTTCTAAGGTAGACACCTTCATTTGATCATTTGTTTCTTTGGGGATAATTTGCAAATCTCACCTCTGATCCACTAAGTTTTGACTTAATACTATGGGACTCAGAACGCAGTCTCATATTCTCCTTTTCCAGGGCTACCTACTTCCCCCCCGCTGCACCCTCCCAACATATTCAATACTCTTCTTGGTAAAGGCTGCGGCTCTCTCATCGTCAGATACAAAATGCCCTCACTAGGGAAGGCTCTCTCTTCCCTGTCAAGTCCCCCGTAAAGCTTATCTCGTATAAAGGTTTTAAGACACCCCATGGTGTCACTCCGCTCTCTGGGTCAAATCCTTCTTCCTAGGGGAGAGGGGGCTGTCTGGAGTCTTGACCTCAGAGCATGAAAGGTGGCTTGGAGTTTAGGCCATCGGATTGTGGGACAGGATCTCCTGCAACTGAGAGGTGTCCCTTCTCTGAGGGGAGAGCAGCCTGGTAACAAAACACCAACAGTGGAGACATTTTCTCCCGATCTATGGAAATGATGAAGGGGTGGGGAGGGCCTCAGGGATGCCCCCAGTCTACTAGAAGAGGAAATGGAGGGACATAAAAAGAAGTGGAGGATCTAGGAGCCCCCACCACAACCGCTCTGTGGTAGGGGAAGAAGCCATGGAGGAGAATTTTCCTAGGATGGATGACTCCTGGCTCTAGGGGTAGCCAGTCTGGCTAACTGTGAATCGCTGCATTGGGAGGGGGTGGAGGAGGGGGCAAGGGGTATTGTTCCTAACTGGTTGCTTTTCTGAAGTTCAGCAAAGGCTATGCAGTCCAGTCCTTCCTTTAGCACAGTGGTTTCTGGACTTCAGAAAATATCCACACAACCCTTTCCTCAAAGGAAATATTACAATATATGAAACAGATAAAAATGGACTATTCTGGAAGAAGCTGGAGAGTGTATCCCCTCTCAGCTTAAACCCCAAAGCAACTCCTTGGAGCTGTAAGGGCTCTGTGGAGTTCCTCTGCTGGGGGAGGGGGTTGCAGATGGCAAAGAAATGAGGCAGCATGAAAAGGTGGAATTCCAGGTCTTCTACCCCTATTTCAAATAGAATAGATGGGCTTTCTCCTATTCACATATTGGGCTTGTGAAAAGATTCCCTGTGGGGAGAAAACTTCCCTTTTAAAAAAAATCCCCCACTCTATTCAAAATCCTTTAATATAGTGTTTATCACCAATTTTGTAGACTTCAAAACACAAAAGAATACCATATGTTCCTGTAAGTAATCATGGCTTGCTCTGGCAGTGGCCCTCAAAGTTGAGGTAGGGGAGAATCACTAACCCAGGTTAAGCGGCATGATCAGAAAGCTGAAACCTGAACCACATCACATAAGGACTTACTGAAGTGCTTTGATGCAGTGCCCAGCTCCTGGGTGGGGGGTGTTATAAAGTAGGAATATTCAATGGGGCTATGGAAAAGATGCAGCTAAAGATACCGCTTACTACCATCACACAACGTCCTCTTGAAAAAAAATGCCTCCCCGTGGCAGGAACAGCAGGGCTGTTTCCCTGCGCAGCCCTGTGATTGCATAGCAGACCTCACTGCCCTCTCTGAGTTGCTGCTGAAGAGTGGAGACCGCTTCTGTAGCCCTCTCACGCAATTTGGATACAGACCCTGTTCCTTGCTCTGGGTTATCTTCCTACCCTGCTTTCTTCTAATCTCATTTTCCTAACTGATTGGTGTCTCATCTTGCCACCCTGTATACATTTTGTAAGACGTGCGCGAGTTTAGCCCAGCATACAGTTAGACAGATCACAGTCCACACAATACCACCCTCACTTCTGACACCAAATGCAAGTTCCAGGGGTTCCCCAAACCACCCTTAGTTTCAGTAAGTTGCTAGAAGGTCTCACAGACCACACCGAAAGCTTTTATGCTCACAGCTATGGCTTATTACAGGGAAAGAATACAGATTAAAATCAGCCTAGGGAAGAAGTGCAGAGGCCCAGGAAAAGCACCAAACATATCCTCTCCCTGTGGAATCCTAGGACAGTGTTCTTCTCCTGGCATCAATGTGACAATACACACAGAAAAGCTCACGTGAACCCTGGTGCCGTTTTTGTTGGGGCTGGATGGCATACGGCCCAGGTGGCTAACCTTTAGTCTCTAGTCCTTCCAAAGGCGGGGCAGATACCTTCAGCCTCCAGTCCCTGTGGAAGCAGAAATGATATTGCATGGCCCAAAGCCCTCATCATAAATCACACTGCCAGACTGTCTGGTGGCCAAGGTCCCTGTGCAAACAAAGACATTCCTATCAGACATGACATTCCAAAGGTCTGAAGATCACCTCCCAGTAGCCAATAGCAAGTCCGGGTCTATCTTTGGGTAAAGTTAATTCTTCACTACCCAACATGTTAAATTCATTTTTTAAACAAGGTGTGGAGAAGAAAAGAATGGATGAACTAACCAATCAAACCGAATCAGTCCAGACATGACCAGACTCCTGGCAACTGCCCCACATTGATGATGATGCCGCTGGGGGAGAAATCAAGGGTGAGGGACTCCAGCAGGGACATTATGTGCCCAGAGCCACTGAGCCCCTCTGTGGTCTGGTTGTGCTGCTAGTGGTACCCTGGGTTGGAGGAGGGGGCCAGGGGTACTGCTCGGCCTGAGTGAGGGAGGAGAGACATCTTGCGGTGCCCTCCGAGACCAGGGAAGGCACAGAGATGCTGACGCAGACACAGGCAGACTCATTCCATCTTCTCATGTTATTAGGTAAGGGATTCCTAGGCAGAGTAGGTTAAGATGGTCACGTGTGCCGTAGAAGGTTGGAATTCTGGTGGATTTGCGGAACTGTTTGGGAAGAATGCTCAGTCAAGGTCATAGATTGCGCCCGGGGTCTAGAGACTCAAAGCCACTCTCACAACTCTTCAGGCAGCACTCGGGCAAAACAACTGTTGTTTCTCCCCTGGCACTCCAAGGAGTCCTGGGCAAGAGGAAGCCTGAGCTCCAGAAACACCTCCTGTCTGTGGGGCCGCAGAGTGCCCTCTGCAGAGGGACCCACCTCAGCAACAAGGGGAAAAGGAAATGCAGCCAGCTGGGAGGAGAAGGTGCCTGCAGGTCCAGGGGAGAAATGCGGGCCAAGCTGATGTTGCAGGACTTCCTGCAGGTCTCTGGAGCTCCTCTGCACACAGGACTCCAGCTCTGGCCTCTCTCTGTTCATGTCCCTGTGTGTGCCTCTGTTGGGCTCTCCTCCTCCTGGCTCTGTCTCTCTAACACACACTGTATAGTTAACTTGGGCTGCCACAACAAAATACCATAGACTAGGTGGCTTAAACAACAGAAATTTATTTTCTCACAGTTCTGGAGTCTGGAAGTCCAAGAGCAGGTGCCAACCAGATAGGTTTCATTCTGAGGCTTCTTCTCTTGTCTTGTAAGGGGCTGCCATCGCAATGTGTGCTTACGTGACCTTTTCTTATGGCATGGAGAGAGAGAGAGAGCCGTCCAGTGTGTCTTCTTATAAGGACACTAATCCCTTCCTGAGGGCTCCACCATCATGACCTCACCTAATTCTAACTACCTCCCAAAGGCCTCCTCTCCAAATACCATCACATTGGGGGTTAGGGCTTCAACATACGAATTTGGTGGTGGGGGTGGGGGGTGGAACACAAACATTCAGTCCATAACACACACCCTATGGTCTATCCGCAGGAGAGAAGTTGCCCATGTCTCAGGCTAAAATCCAGATGGCTCAGTTTTAGTGAAATCCCAGGAAAGCAGTTCTCTAGAGGGTCCACAACATCTGTGATTGTAAAAAGGAGGTCTATCTAACGGCTTATTTGCATGTGACATGAGAATCCTCTCTCTCTCTCTAATATCTCCCTCCTCCAATCCCCCCATACTCTGAGTCGGGCATGGTGGGAGGTACGCAGAGGAGTGAGAAGTGACCCTGTGAGCTTGCTGGGGCTCAGAACCCGGCTGGGGGACAAGACGTACCGTCCAGGGAGAGTGTCTCGGGCCCACTTGACTCTTTGGAGACGCTGTTCTCGGCCTCACAGGGGTAGTTCCCAGCACCCTGCTCTGATGTCACCAGGAAGAGGAGGGAGGTGGCTCCCCCATAGGGGGCCAGGCGGTTCCCCAGGATCTCTCCGTCGAGGTAGAATGAGTACCGGATCGGAGAGGAGCCCCTCTGGGCCTCACAGAGAAGCTCCACCACATTCCCCACAGTGAAGCTGGTGGGCCCGGGGCTCAGGGTGAGCAGAGGTCAGGACACAGGAGCTGGGGCAGCACACGAGATGGGAGGGTCAGCTGGACCACCCAGGCTCCTGGCTCCTGCTCCCCTAGGGACCCCTCCCCACACTCCCAGGGGCCCACTGCCTGATGCCCAGACCTCTGGGGAGGGTCTCCCCTCCCTCCCCCACTTACCCCACACCCTGATCTCCAGCTGGGGGCTCTGTTTCTGGACCCGGCCTCCCTCAGGGGCCACCTCGCACCAGTAAAGCCCAGAGTCTCCCTCCTGGGCTCCTGGGATGCAGAGTTCTGGGTGGAGGCCCCTGTCCTGCAAGACATGGCCCTCCTTATGGAAGGAGAACAGGAGTCACAAGGCTGACCTCTGAGGGTGCAGCTTCATCTGACATCTCAGGGTCACCGGGCTCCCCTCATGGGGCTCAGGAGAGGGGATGGCGCTCAGCACAGGATGCGGGAAGAGCTCTGAGGAGAGGCAGGCCCAGGACTCAGGAGGAGAATCCTGGACAGTGAGGCCCAGGAGGCTGAGGTCAGAGCTTCAGCACATCCCAGGCCACAGCCCCGGGCCCCATGGGAAACACTGTCATTGTCTCTTGGGACCTGGCCTCTCAGCCTACCCACTAGCTCTGAAATGACTCCACACGCCTGAGCCCCCCTGGAATCCCGGAAAGCCAGAGCCGGAGGGGCCTTAGAGACCATTTGTCCCCAGAGGGGAAGGGTGTGGCCCAGGGTCTCAAGGGGGGGTGAGTGGCAGGGCTGGTTCAGGGCTCTTCCCAACCCCTCCCCAAGACATCCCACCTCCTTCCCCTGGCTCCAGACGTGCCCCATGGTGGGTGGGCAGGGCATTCAGACAGCATCATGGACATCCAGGGCCCTGTGGACTGGCCCAACATCAGGGGCAGCCAGAGGGGGTTGCTGCCCAGAGAGCTACTGACCTTTAGAGGCCAGATCCTTGAGCAGCACCCTACTCCCCCCAACCCCCTAAGCTGGACTCACCTTGGACCTGAACCAGGGTGGTCCCTGAGGTTTGTTTGCTCATGTATGGACCATATGTCACCTGCCCAGTGCACGTGTTCTGGCCACTGTTTTTCACTGTTGCTGTCCCCACAGACAGGGGCTGGTTGTCCGTAGAGAAGTGGAGGAATTTCCCATCTTTGTAGAACTCCACCTGGGTCAGGGCTGCGTTCCTCATTCCCCGGCATCTCAGAGTCAAGACGTGTCCTTCACACATGGAGTTTGGCCAGGCTTGGAGGTTCAGCTGGACTGTGAGACAAAGGAACAGGGTCACCCTGGAGCTGCAGGTCCCATTAGCCCATTTTCTCCCTCTGTCCCCCAGCCTAGGTCCTCCCACTGGGGATGGAGGCTTCTGGACGGCACCTGCGCAGCTGTCACTGCCCCCCAGTCCTTCAAGCCAGACAAGGGCCAGGGCCTCTGCTTTCCTTTCCCCTCCTTCCTCTCTCCTTCCTCTTCTCCTCTACTTTCCCTCATTTCTTCTGTCTTTTCCTCTCTCCCTGACCCTACTATATATTGGGCTTTCCTCATCCTTGACATGTTTGGTTCCACCTGGAGTCATTCCAACCACTTAGCTACCTTTTTCTTCCTGAAAAGAGTCCCATTTTTCACACCTCACAGCCTGCCCTGGTCCAGGCTGACCCAGTAGCCCTCACCTCCAGTGACAGTTCCAAGGAGTCCCCGTGAGAATCCAGGGATGGGGAAACCTAAGCTGGTTCCCTCCTACCTCCCTCCTCAGAGGCTCTCCCAGGCCCAGACCCCATCAATGCTGCATGCCAATGCCCACCCCAGCAGGGTATGGGTGATGCTAAGGAGGTAGAATCTATAAGACTTGGTATATGTGTTGTTTATAACAGTAAAAGAGTAAGAACAACTACAATGTTTATTAATAAGGGACTGGTTAAATAAATTACAATCTAGCCATATAATGAAATATAATGTAGCCATGAGAAAGAAAGAGGTAGGTCCATAAATACCTGCATGGAATGAGGCCCAAGATAAAGTGTTAGGGAAGGAAAATTAAAAGCAACACGTGAAACCATGTGTACAGTGCACCTCCATGTCTGTATAAAAAGAAGTACATATTCATAAACATATATATGTTTGCATATGTGTACAAATTTTTTAGAAGATAGTAGGTAGACTGGTAACTCCTGGGCTAGGATTGGCAAGAAATGGTTTTCACAATGTACTTCTTATTTCTTTTAAAAAATGTTTTCTAATGTTCTTACCACATTCACCTATATTTTTCAATTAAAAAGCTAGATAAAATAAAAGATTCTGACCTTCTTTATTTCCCCATACATCCTTCAGCAAACTCTTCTTACCTGAAGTTACCCAAGCATGGATCCATTCCTTGCAACTGAAGATCCTAAGGAACTGAGTTTCTCAGTGCACAGTGAGAACCGTTGGGAGGAGGTAAGGTGTAGACTCTAGAATTGAGAATCCAGGAGACTGTAGCTTAGGCAGAATAGGAAAAGTCGATGAGAAGACCAAGAACTAACGATAGGCTTGCAATTTTGTTGAGGGCAAGAGACAAGAGAGACACAAAGCATGGCAGAGCCCATGTCTTGAAGTTACATGCCAAGGTCCCAGGTAGCATTGGAAGACGTGAGGTTAGCAGAACCAGTCTTTACTCAGAGACAAAAAAATGGATTTTCTGCTGAAAGTTGGTCCTGGCATCACTTTCTCTGTCTCCTCAGTTGTAGGAAAGATTCATTGTGTTCCTGTTTGATGAGCTCCCAGTAGAGCCAGTCACAGTGTCCCACAGGGCTAAGACTTCTGTTGATGGAGAGACATGGTGCAAATGGGAGAAAGTAGCAGAGAAAGAAAATCAGAATGCACCCAGACACAGATGTTTGTCACTGGGTACTAGGGAGAAGAGGGAGGTCCAGGGCCAGTCACAGGAGGGAAGAGATACTGAGATCTCCCTTGCCTTCAGCTCTGGAATAAACCACGGCACAGGTGGACACAAAAGCCTGAGCTCAGTAAGATGGAGCCAGCCTTACTGACTGATCTAGAGTCAAGGGCTGTAGCAACCTCAACCAGACAACTATCCCCTCAGACATTTCCAAACAGCCTGGGTGGTCAGAATGGGACATGAACATAGGCATATACACAGAAACAGCAGGAAAATGAAATTAAAGATGTACTAAACTTTTTGTCTCCATTTGCAATGGAGAAAAGCAATGGGGATTAGATTTGATAGTAGGACTTTCTGACAGATAGAGTGGTTAAATGTGGGAATGGTGGATACAAGAGGATAAGTGAGCCCTCTTACTCCCTCCTCCTACACACATTTGGAAAGTGCCAGCCCCCACCTGGTCATAGTTCCTAAAAAGCTTCATAGGACCATTTCCACACAACATCTGGTCATCCTGGTTTTAGGGTCTCCATGGAGCCAGCCCATAGCATACCTATCCCCACTCCCTGCTTCAGGAGGAATAAGGAAAGGAGGTCAGATATGACTTAAATGATAACCACCTCATCCTCTAAGAAGAAGCAGGCAGGACAAGACCCAGGCTGGAGGTGGGGGACTTTATAAAGGAGAACTTGACTTTGGTGTCAATTATTAGGGAGAAGGTGGATCTTTTACAGGACACCAGATCTGATGAGGTGGATCTCAGCAGGTGGAAAGGACTCCTAAGCTCCCAGGAGCCTGGCTCCAACTTGAAGGAGGTAAGTGGACAATTTCAGTCACCTGGGTGACAGGTGATAGGATGGCATCCAGACAGGCCAGGAACTAAGAAGGGAGGCAGCTAAAGATGCCCAACGTATGTTTTCTAAGACAGATTCTTGCTGGTACTCTTTTTTTCTTTTTTTTAATTGCCCTTTACCTTAGTCTTTAGTAAAGACGTGTCTAAAGGTTTCTGCCTATCTCAGCCATGTGTTGAAGGGGAAGCAGAGGTCCCTGAAGCCCAGCAAGGCAGACGTTGACAGTGATAATCAAGGAGAGCCCCCAAGAGAAGGCAAACCTCAAAAGCAGAGAGAATCTCAGGCCTAGGTGGCCCAGTTGGCCTTCCCCACCAGGAGATCCTTGTTCCAGGCCCAACCTCAGTGGTTCTGAATTTTGTTGCTATCAAAGAAGGCAATATTTCCTTGCAAAAATATGGACTGAGCAGTAACTGGCTCTCTCTTCTTGCTGGAAGAGGGGCTTCTCCCACTCCAAACAATCTTTTCCCCAAGCTGACCCCAGAAAATACTTCATTTGACTATGTGAAAATACAGATTGCTGTTGATTTTGAGGAATAGAGATTCATTTATGCTTTTTTATCAGGAGGCACTGCATGAGCCTTGTATGTAATTAAATGTGTCTCATCAATGCTGTCAGTATTGTTTCCTTCTAACTTCTATCTGTCATGCTCAGTTTTCTGAGTTTGTGGGTCACTTAGCATGGCTATGAGTAGAAAATCTTGCAAAACTGATGGGGGTGGGGGAAGTTGGAATATTAGTTACAAACCAAGAGGAGGAGGAGTAGAAGGCTACCCAGGTGGTATAGACTGAGCTGTTTTAGAGAAGCCCCTCTCCATCACATCTCTCTGGGACCCACCCCCACCTCCCAACATGAAAGTCCACAGATTTCTTGTTGGTTGTCACTACCTTCCTCAAGTTCTTCTTTTAATATGCAAATGCTGCTAGGAAGATAAGAGGAAACCATAACATATCTCTGTTTAGAAACTGTTCTAATATCTTTGTAAATGTTCAGAGAAAATGTAAATCTCCTTGGGTAAGCAGGCTTAGATGAAGCTATGAGCTCATTTTGGTAAATATGCAAGCTTAAGCATTTCAAGCAAAGGGCTTTAAATCAATCGCAGCTTCAAAGGGCAGGAGTTAAGAATCCAAGTATGGTAGCCAAAAAACATTTTCTTGACTGGAAGAGACCCTCATGGGACTCTTTACCATGAATGACCTAGAGAAAATAACATAAGGCAATCTTTTTCTACTTCAGTTCAACTCAACAAAGATCTGTTTAATTCTACTATATGTGAGACACTGTGCTAGGTGAAACTGGGGACACAAAATTGTATGCAACAGTCCTCATTCCCAGGCAGTCTGGCCATGCAGGACAAAACACATATGGAGACACAAAGCAAAGGGTCAGAGTAGCAAGAAAGTTCAAAGAAGGGAGATAGCCCACCCAGTTGGAGAGCTCCACTGGCATCAAGAAGGGATGTGGAGGCAGCTATAAGTATAATAAATTGTATATGAAAGAACTGGCATGAACAGAGTCACAGAGATGGAACATCACAGGATATTTTAGGAAACATCAGATGGTCAGGTCTGTTTAGAGCATAGCGTAAGAATGTGGAATTAGTGGAAAATAAGGGTGGGAGAGAAGATTGGGACCCTCTGAGCAAGACCAAGGCAAAGGAAGTTTAGGGCAAATCAGTGACATCTGTCTTCTGTTCTTTCCCATTTCTTCTGCTGCTGAGAGCTCATCCCCAACCACCTACAAGAACCATGATTCCTAGACACACTTCCAGGATGGGCTCCTGGGCACAGACATCCTTCCACAATGAGCTGAGTCCTTGGTTCCACTCGGTCAGAAAGACTCACCTTCTCACCCAGCTCAATGGTCTTCCTCCCTCGGCCGCTATTCCCAGCCTCTTCCCATTTGCCATATCCCTCACCCCTTCCATTAGCCTGGGTACCTCTTTTCTTCTTGTCCTTTCACTACGTGGCTAGCTTTGTTCTCTCTTGAAAGTGACCAGTATAGAAGGGTATCCAACCACATTGCCCAAATGCCTGCCTACTTCCTCCTCTGAAGGACAACAGAGACTTCTGAGAATTAAGAACTAATTCAAGAGCTCAGCCCAATTTAATATGTTTACTTCTCACTCTCCCACTGTTCTCGTATCTTCATCCAACACTCTGTGTCCGTGTCTCCTCAAGCCATCAGATTTTCCTTTTCATTGTCAGATGGCAGAAGGAGGAATCACAGGAAGGAACACCAAAACATACACCAAAGGACTAGGGCCTCTTGATGTGTGAGAGAATTGCAGAGGTAGGACACTGCTTACCCTCTGTTATGAGCTGAATTTTACCACCTGCCCTGCCCCCGCCCCACCCACCACCATTCATATGTTGGAGTCTTAACTCACAGTATCTCAGAATGTGACTGTAATTGGAGATAGGATCTTTAAAGAGGTGATTAATGTAAAATGAGGCTGTTAGGGTGGGCCCTAATTCAATCTCACTGGTGTCCTTATAAGAAGAGGAGATTAGAACACCAAGGGTGCTCGTGCACAGAGAGACAACCCTATGAAGAGGCAGCAAATGGGTGGCCATCTATAAGCCGAGGAGAGAGGGCTCAGAGGAAACCAACTCTGCCAGCACCTTGATCTTGGACTTCCAGGCTCCAGAACTGTGGGAAAATAAATTTCTGTCCTTTAAGCCGCCTAGTCTGTGGTATTTTGTTATGGCAGCCCTAGCAAACTAATACATCCTCCCAAGCCCACATTGGAATGGATGGACTGAAGAGAGGTTTCTGATATTACAAGTTCCAAGCAAATCCATGGCCTCCTTCAGAAGAAATCAGTTTTGTCTTATACTCCAGCAAAATACGCCATGCCTTGAGTTTTATGATCCTGCTACCTTGGACACAACAGATTGGACAAAGGATCAAGGACTGGCTAGACCAGTGGGTTTATAGGAGAGCACCATATCATAGAGTACTAAGTTTCCCAATTAGATTCTCTCTTGGGAGTTTTAAGTATGAAATAGAGAGTAAAAGAGCACTGAAACCAGAGGTAATAGAAACAGAAGTAGGAAAAGTAAAGACAGAAGAGAGACAAGCTGAGTAAGGAGAACAGCTATACCTAGAGTAGACATCCACTTCTGAGGGGACAACTGGTTGCCTGGGCAACCAGAGTTGCTGTTGAGTAATTCCCACTCTTCTGTGAGGCCTGACTATGAGACAGTTGAGACAGTTTTCTTACTTGTCCTTAAAATAAATCCTCATCACTCAAGCTCTTCCGAGCCTGAGCCTATCTCTTTCTTGCAATCTGAAAGAACTTACCTACAGCAGTAGTGTATTAGTTTGCCAAGGCTGACGTAACAAAGTACCACAGACTGGGGGCTTAAACAATAGAATTTTGTTTTCTCACACTTCTGGAGGCTGGAAGTCCAAGATCGAGGTGTCAGCAGGATTGATTCCTTCCGAGGGCAGTGAGGGAAGGATCTATTCCAGGCCTCTCTCCTTGGCTTGTAGATGGCTGTCTTCTTCCTGTGTCTTCCCTTGGTAGATGTCTGTGTCCAAATTTCCTTTTCTTATTAAGGACACCAATCATATTGGATTAGGACCCACCTAATGACCTCATTTTTATTTAATTACCTCTTTAAGATCCTATTTCCAAATAGAGTCACATTCTGAGGTACTGGGGGTTAAGACTTCAACGTATGAATTTAGAGTGTGGGCACAATTCAGCCCATAACAAATAGGTTTATATCTAAAACCAAGACATTTCCCAGAAGGCCTCCTCCCAGACAGGCAGCTCTCCTCACTTGACATCCCCCAAATAAGCTGCCATTCTGGGGTGAGGGCCCTGCTCACAACCAAGCCGCCCTTCAGGCTTGGTGTATATGCTCTTCTAGCTGATGCCTCCGCCTACCTCCAACCCACTAGCGTGTACTAAACCAAGTAGGATAGCTCTGCGTATACCAGTATAGAAAGATCTCAAGGACATTTTTAAGTGAACAAATAAGTTGGAAAACAACCTATTCAGCATGAATATATTTATGCTTAAGAACAAATCTATATATTTTGTACATGTATATAAAATAATATAAAAGCACAGAGAAAAAGCCAGGCAATCAGAAAATAAAGGGGAAGGACATGAACATCTCATTCAGGCTGTCATGGAAGGAGGAAGTTGAGGGGAGGCAACAAGCTTGAAAGAAATTTTTTTCACGATGGAGTAGCCCTGAGCACATCGGTAAACAGTGGAGGGAGGGGAGATGCTGAGTAATTGATAGCACAGGACCCTCGGGTGGATGGAAAAGAGTAATTAAAAGCAGAAGCTGGTCAAGCAGTGAAAAAAGAGTAAAGAAAAGCAGAAACTGAACATGCAGGAAAGTCCTGAGGAATAAGAAAGAAAAGTGGAACGACTCTAGTAAAATGCCCTCAACCTCAGCACAATAGGAAGTGGAGTAGTTCACTGTTGAGGGCTGGATCGTGTCCCCCAAAATCCGTATGTTGAAGTCCTAACCCCAGTACCTCAGAATGTGACTGTATTTGGAGATAGGGCCTTAAAAAGGTAATTAAGGTAAAATGAGGTTATTAAGGTAGGCCCTAATCCTCCTCATAAAAAGAGGAAATTAGGACACAGA